TGCCTGCGGGTCGTCTGCGGCGGGCGACACCTCGTCTGCGGGCTGCGGGCTCTCCTCGTGCCGCACCGCCTCCTCCCAGCGCTCGGCGAAGGCGTCCCCGTGCAGCTCGCACACGTTGTGCAGCACGCAGCAGGCCAGGATCATGGTGGGCACCACGTCCATGCGGCAGTCGTTACGCTTCAGCAGGCACTGCCAGCGCGCCCGCAGCCGCAGGAAGGCCTGGTCCACCACGCTGCGCGCCCGCTCCAGTCGCCGGTTGAAGGCCCGCTGGCCCGCGGTGAGCGCGCTGGACTCGGGGTAACCCTTCAGCAGCCAGCTCTTCAGCGGGTACCCGGCGTCGCCCAGCATCAGGAAGCCCAGCGGGTGGCCCATGAAGTCCAGCGGCGGCTGGCGCAGCAGGAAGCCCCCGTCGCAGCCGCGCGCCCACAGCGTGGAGTTCTGCAGGATGGCGGAGTGCTCGGTGCTGCCCGGGAAGCCGGCGCACACGTCCCAGAACTGGCCCAGACCGTTGACCGCGCCCTGCGTGACCACCGACAGCCAGCCGCGGCTGTTCCAGTAGTTGTCGGTGTTGCTGGAGGGGGCGATGATGGGCACGTGCAGGCTGCCCACCGCGCCCACGCAGTGCGGGAAGCCCCAGCGGGTGGCGAAGAGCCGCGCGGCGTCCTCCAGCTCCTGCTCGCTGGGCGTGCGCAGGTACAGCGGCCGCAGCAGCAGCACGATGGCGTGGCACACGTCACGCACACACTTGCAGACGGTGGAGCGGCCCACGCCGAACAGCGTGCTGATGGTGCGGTACTCCACGTTAGACGCCAGCCGCCACAGCGCCACCGCCACACGCTTCTCCAGCGGCAGCGCCGGCCGCAGACGAGTGTCCTGCCGGTTCAGACGCGGCTTCAGCTTCCCGCACAGCAGGAAGAACGTCTCCTTCGTCATGCGGAACTTCTCCAGCCAATCAGACGGCTGGAACTCCCTCATCACCACTCGCTCCCACCAATCGGTGCTCTCGATGTTGCTCCAGACGCGTGTGGGCCGGGCCGGCAGCTCTGTGATTGGCCGAGACGTCTGAGCGATCATCATCTAGGAGACCAGAACCGCTCCGTTATTACAGTACAACAGCAGAACACACACACACGCACGCGCACACACTCCGTTATTACAGTACAACAGCAGAACACACACACACACACACACACACACTCCGTTATTACAGTACAACAGCAGAACACATACACACACAGACACGCGCACACACACACACACTCCGTTATTACAGTACAACAGCAGAACACACACACGCACACACTCCGTTATTACAGTACAACAGCAGAACACACACACGCGCGCACACACTCCGTTATTACAGTACAACAGCAGGAGAACACACAGACACGCACACACACACACACATGCACGCACACACACAAAGGAACATCAATATCAACACACCTGCATTTGCGTGTGCGTGTGTGTGTGTGTGTGTGTGTGTGTGTGTATCGAATATGCATCAGCATCTAATAATCACACACTACTGTTTATTCCTCTGTGCTGGACTCTGATTGGCTGCTGCTCACTCTCAGGTGTTTGGTTTTTGTCAGACAAAGGCACAGCTAAAGTAGTTCCGGCAGGTTTAGAGCAGCTCCATATCACTGCGCTGAATGATGAGAGTCATTACACAGCTAACAGTCAGAAAGCACAGAGAATACAGCACACCTGAGGGACAGACACGCCCCTTCTCCAGATGATCACCTCAGGTGTGCTGTATACTCTAATGATCAGCAGTTCGTCATCAGTTACTCTTTACCTGACCACACACACACACACACACACACACACACGTGTTTGTTGACAGTAATCAGACTCAGGTGCTGCTGTGTGCTCACCATGATCATCCTCTTGTGTCTCTGGTGGAAGTACTGCCGGTGCGCGACGCGTCTCTGTACCTCGCGTCTCCGCGTCGCGTCCGCGCTGGTGACGTCACGCCGCCGCTTCATCAGCACGTAACTGAGCGTGAACATGAGCGAGCGCAGCGTGTCGTCGGACGCCATGGCCCCGCGGTGTGTGTGTGTGTGTGTGTGTGTCACTCTGAGCTCTGCTTTTCGGCTGTGAGTCCAGACTCCGCCATCATCCTCCTCCTCTTCCTCTTCTTCTTCTTCCTCTTCCTCCTCCTCCTCCTCTGCTTCTGTCACT